ACAGAAGAGCTCTGGTTGCATTTTTCTCAGTGGAGCTCTGCAGAGAGTACTGAGACAGTATTTAGGTTTCTGGGGTGAAAGTGGCTAAGAGCTTCTGACCTGGCAAATTGGCTTTTGATAAACAAGCCCCACATGCCCCCAGCAACTCCTGTTAATCTGTGCTAATAACATTTTGCCTGGGGATGTTACATTGACCCACATGGGAAACTGGATGCAGAGTTATTTATAGGAGACTGTGTTTCTTTGTAGCCATCAGTAAGAACACAGGAGGGTCTGAAGCTGCTTCTGGGTGCCTGGTGAACAGCCTCTGTGTCCAACTCGTTCTCATTTGTGGTAACCAAAGTCACACAGACAAGGAAAGCCTGGGCCCTCACCTCCCAGGATGCTGATTCCCCGTTTATTGCCAATTGAAGTAGGCTTTGCTTTAGTAGTAGAGACTGATGGAAGGTAACAGGAGGCTGAGTGCCAGCTGGAAAGCCCAGTCACCACATGGCTTAGAGACCATATTGTCTTCCTTGACAGGCTCTGCCTTTCTAGGATGTTGCCTCAAAGCAACAACAGAAATAGAGCCAACACCTCCCAACTGGTGTTTGCTGAGTACTTTAGGCACCTCCACAAGCCAGAGGACATATGAACATGCCAGTTCTTGTGTCTCCTTGTTCTGCTCACCTGATACCTGGGAGATTGGTGCTACCTAGGAAATGAGCACACAGCACACAGATAGACCAGGAATGAGGTGGGACTTCCCTCATTGCTGCTAAAATTGCACTATTTTATAGCAGTGTAGATGTATCCTGAGGTTAGGGCAGAGGGAGGAGTGTTTAATATACCATGTTAGTGTGTCTTGTTTTCTGGTTTGTGATAAGAGGCCGAAGGTAGTTCTGGTTCTAATCTGCCCATCTAGTCTTTTATCTGTTCTTACTACCGCTCCATTAGTGTGATTCTGGTAAAGATCTCTGCAGCTGTCTTAACCCTTTCTAATGAAGGTGACATGAATATATCTGCTGAGATTCTTTAAGGAGTTTCTTTTGTTTGATTTGTATAACATAGCATGTAAAAATTGAAACGAGAAAGCCAAGAACCTTAACTGAAGCATGCTACCCTGGCTGTTAAACCAGAATGAAATAGGGGATTAAAACATCTGCGTACCACTTATGGATGTTTGGGTGAGGATAGAAGGGCTCTGAGGTGCCATCTGATGGAAGGGAGGGTCAGAGTGCTGCACAAACAAATTGCTTTTTTGTTACGATAAGGATTTGAGTTCCCTCTGGTAAGAATTATAAAACTTAAGCTTTCCCAAGGTGTCATTTCTGATCAGATTCCATATAAAATACAGGAAAGAGCTCAAATAAAGCCCCCAAACTTGGAAGACACTGAAGATTTAAAAAGTCTCAAATTATCACAGCCATATGTCATTGTGAGTTTAGGAAGGGCAGTGATCTACTGTCCTTAAGGAACAGCTCTGACCTGGACTGTGCTTTCTAAAACCAAAATCATGCCTTGGCCATCTTCCAAGCAAGAGCCTCTTAGAAGTCCTCAGAACAAGGAAAAGTGGGAATGGAGCCCTGAGCTGGTGGGTTTGCTGACTGGGCAGGCTCTCCTTTTTGCTGCCATTTTCCTTGTCAAAAAATATGGGAGATTCCTAAGTGCTTTGCGATGTTTGGGTGGAAGAAAACAATATTCTGCCCCCTCCCCCTTTGAAACTCTGGGGAAAGAGGCAGCTGCTGTGCTACCACTCTGCCTTTCTCTTGAGCAGCTTCTGCTTTGGCCTGAAGGAATAGCCACCGCTGTGATCCTTGTTCTGACTGGAGATCTTGGCACCGTCTAGATTAGCAAACCGCATGCTTGATATCTAAAATTGCACTCATTAACTTGAAAACCTAGTAAATTCCAAGTTTGTTTTGGCCTGTTGCTCTTTACCAAAAAATGAGTTCAGGATAGCAGTCTTTTCCTTCATATGCTTGGTTGTGACTTAGAGCTGGAAAAGCTGTTGGGGTAGTCTCCCATCTCCTCGCTTGGCCTTGCTGTCCACTTCTTTATACTCAGGTGAGCTGATTTTTGCCCCCTTGTAATCCACTCAAGAACTCAGATTGGTATGGTGAGGAGTCAACCTCAGGGTCATGGGCTGAGGGATCCTGTAAACAGAATGTATGTGTCCAGAGCCCTCTGCCCCCAAATGCTTCCTTGGTACTGTGACTACAGAATTTTCACTCTGAGGATGCTACAAACTCTAGCCTTTTCCCTAAAGCTCAAGGCCAAGGAAAATGTTAAGACATTTGGGACTAGAGCTGACCTCTGCACCAGGCTGGGAAACTGCAGTCCTCTTAGGTTTATAAAGTGGCCCAAATACCAGGATGTGGCTTCTGTGGTCAATTGCATTACTAGGGGTCGGGGATGGAGGAGTGTTACTTTTTATTTTGATCACCCTGTAGTCTTTAACCATTTTGTACCTGAGGCCAGGTCCATGACTTGCCTTCCAGTCGCTTGCCTGCCCTTCAGTGATGGTCAGTGTCAGATAGAATTGGAATCAGTCACCAATCTGTGTGTCCTGTCTTGGCTGGGTCCATATAGGAGCAGCTTAGCTCTGAGACTCAGAGAACGTTTATTTCTTTTCTCCTTGAAGGAGGAAATTAAACTGGGGAACACAGTGTCGTTCCACAGCATGGGAAGAAGAAAATAAAAATCTCCTTTCCAGCAAATAAATAAATGAATAAATGAATGAATGAATAAATAAATAAATAAATAAAGACATCTGTCTGAAATAAGGCAGCTTTAGTCAGAAATTCTAGGTCTACTGTGTCATCTTAAATTTTTAAGATTGTGTGTGTGTGTGTGTGTGTGTGTGTGTGTCTGAGTGCATGTATGTGCATCAAGTGTGCACAGGTGCCCACTGGGGCCCAAATAGGGCATGGGATTCCCCTGCATCTGGCTCTGAGACACAAGATATAGGTATTGGGAACTGAACTCAGTCTTCTGCAAGAGCAACAAGTGTCCTTAATGGCTGAGTCGTGTATCTAGCCCCCGACTGCATCATCTTACCAAAGTTTTCTTTGGTTGTTTTTGTTTGTTGAGACTTGACCTCACTATGGCTGGCCTCAAACTCACAGAGATTCACTTACCTCTACCTCCTGAGTGCTGGTATTAAAGGAGTGTGCTACTACACCATGCTAGAAAAGCTATTTTTTTTAAACTTTAAACTTCTACTTAAAGTATGGATATTACTATTTACCTTTCTGTGGATTATGAGGATTGAATGTAATAATATAAAATACCTTCTCTCGTTCAAGAAAAGCGAGCATCAGTAAAGTCAATGAACATGAGTTAATTTGGGCAAAACTAATTGTAGCTGACTTTACTAGTGTTGGTGAATTTGTGAGAAAAACTCAGGAAAAAGCAAATTGAAACCACATCAAGGCAGTCTTTAAGAATTAGAACTGATAGACTCAAAGATGAAAGAGGGAAGAGGAGAGGGTGAGGTGAGCATGAGGAAAGAGGAAGGGGGAAGAAGATAGGGGAGAAAACTTTTTAGAGATTGGACAAAACCAGTGGCTCAGAATTCATTATTTCAAATTCTTTTAAAATATATTAAAAATTTATTTTATTATGGTTGCTCCTGTTACCCCCTGAGCTTTGTAAAGGTATTATGTACATTTTGTTCACCACTCAATATCCAGAACTTTGTAGGATGCTTGGCACATAATAAATGCTTAACAAATATTTGTTGACAAAAAGAATAAGGAAAGACCGAAAGTAAATATCTTTATTATTTTTATGTTTATGAGTGAATTTCTTGCAAGTATATTACACCCACTTGTGCAATGTCCACTAAGGTCAGAAGAGGGCATGGAATCCCCTGGACCCAGAGTTACAGACAGTTGTTAACCGCCATGTGGGTGCTGGGAACTGAACTTGGGTCCTCTGCAAGAGCAGCCAGTGCTCTTAATGCTGAACAATATCTCCAGACAAATAAACAAACAACAATCCAAAGAGTCAGGCACAGCTGAAATAAAAGTACACAGAAATAAATGAGTATAAATTTTTGACTTTATAGTGTTTTGAGAAACCCGTAGGACATTCTATTTTTCATGATTAGTAAGATTCCGTATGTATAATTTTAGCTCTAAAAGGCGCTTGAACCTGGAGCTAGGGCACCGTGACTCATTAGCATACAAAGGAAAAGGGGTGGTCACGTGGGAGTAGCTGCCCAACCCAGGAAGTGATGAAAGTGGACGTAAGCGTCCTAACACAAAGCGACTGAAAATATGGAAAAGGTTGGTAATTCCTGGTCCGCGGGAGACCAACAACGTGGCTCTTCCTTTCCCAATCCACTAACAAGGTACAGATGGTATATCTATAGAGATATTTGATTAGAAAGCTTATAATGTCTTGGTGGTGGCTTTGGGAGTAGGGGCTTTAAGGGATTTCGGAGGAACAAAACAAGTTTGTAATGGAGTTTGAATGACTTCAATTTCAATCTTAGCTAATCCGGGATTAATCGATGTCTTTAATATCGTGATGATGAAACTAGCGTTTACCTCTGAGTTATAAATAAATAAGTTTGGGTAAAAATGCTTAGAAAACTGCTTGTGGTCAGGACTAAACCATTTAGTATTAGTTTGTTCTGATGAATAAGCTGTGAAAAGGGAGGGAACAGCATTGTAGGTAAATTATTTTTTGGCTCAACAAACACATTTAATCACTTCAGAATGGAGAAACTTGAGATTTTGCTGTTTTAAACAACAGATCCAAGCGGTTAGTGTTTGAGAAATGGTTGAGAATGTTCCAGAACTCTGAGTTTTCCAGCCACGGTGCAGTAGGCACCTGTAGCGTGCCTTGTCTCAAGATCCGCCCCCTTTTCCTATAGGCTACTTAGGACTTTGCCGTTTTTCATTGGTCGTTCAAGTTTTGGGCCCGCCTCCTGGAGCAAAGACATCCCTGTAATTGGGCCCTTTAATTTGAGTTTGTGCCAGGGCTGGTAATTGGGAAATTGGGATGTTTTCGTTTTCAGTATTCAGGTTAAAAAACCAAGTTCCTGTTTTTTGGTTTATCTTTGTTTTTTTCTCCAATTTAAGCCAAGTAAATAGCCTGTAAGTAATTAAAACGGATGGGCGGGATGTGTCGGAACTGAAGGAAGCTGGTGCTTAAAGTTGGAGCGTCGGGAAGATTTTTAACATAGGACAGAGCTACTTCCGGGAGACAATGGGAGGGTTGAAAATACTGCGATTTTGGAGGATTTCCTTTTCTTACTAAACATTTTATCCCGCAGCCAAACGGCCCTGGTGAAGGAGGAGCTAGTGACTCCGCTACTACCAAAGCATAATTCCAACTCCCCAATGAGCATGTCTGTGGTGAGTACCCTGGACGCCGCAGGGCGCTCGAGCGCCCGGGTTCGGACAGAGGAGGGGAAGCGCGGAGCTGGGCTGGGACACGTGAGCAAGTGGCGAATCAGGCTCTGGCCCGCCAGCTCCCGGGGCGGGGCGCTCGCACTCTGCCCTTCCCCAATGTAGTCCTTGAAAGATGCCGGGTGGGACGACTGCTAGTGGGAGGATGTGGTGTTTAGTTGTGTACGGCTTACAGTGTCCGCCTTTCTATTACTTGCCGCTTTAAAAATCAAAGTCACATTTGATCACCCAAAGAAACAACTGGCGATTCATTATTTTTGATCCAAGTAATAGGATTTTTCTGGGTTAAAAACCTGGGAGAGGGCGGGGGTAATCCTAGATCCTCTTGTGGTCAGGATTTCCACTTATATTTTGCAGTTCACTTACAAATACCAGTGAATATTTATGTAATGTGAGAAATTTTGCTAAATAAGACTGCTTAGATATTTTTTCAAGTAGTTCATTTTACATAGTCCCTGGCCTGTCTTTAAAAAGAAAAAATCGATTTTGAGCTTAATCATAACTTGAAAGGCAGCCCTTTCCTAGCTTATTTAATGACAGCAAAACCCCTCATACGTAGCCCTCTTACTGCCACCAGTTAAGGTTCTGACAACGTCCTTTTTAGGTGAGTGTTTTGTTAAATATCGAGTCTTTCTTGTGATTAGATTCCAAATTTATTGAAATGAAATTCACTTAATGGGAGATGAGTATATTCTAAATACATGCACCTAAAATAGTGACAAATTTTAAAAAATTGAAAATGTTTGCCCTCTAACCTTTAAAAATGTATGTAGAAGAATGTGCATTATGTGTGCAGCTTTACAGTGATGGACATAATCAGCTTCTCGAGTATTTTGTAGTTGTGGAAAATTGGTGGAATCATAATCTACCTTTCTGAAATATTTCTTGTAGGATTTCAAAACTTATGTAGATCAGGCATGTAGAGCTGCCGAGGAGTTTGTCAATATTTACTATGAGACAATGGACAAAAGAAGACATGTGAGTTTTATAGTCTCTGTTACTCTCTGCTTAAATATCGAGTGTGTGTGTGTGTGTGTGTGTGTGTATGTGTGTGTGTGTGTGTGTGTGTGTTTGTTTCTGAGCCATCCATTTATATGACATGCATAAGTGGTTTCTGTGGACAAGTTACTTACAGAACACCTGGTAAGGTATTAGTGTGGATGTAGGCCCTGGAATCATATTTAGATTTGCCCTTACTTGGTTTACTTGGTACCACCAGTTTAAGCAAATTCTCAACTTATCTTAACTCCACTTTACTTTTAGGTAGGAAAAACATTTGTTGACAGTGCTAGAAATCGAACTCAGGGCCTTGTATGTACTAGGCAAATACTCTGCCACTACGGTGTATTCCCAGATCAAGAATTATTTTAAATACTGCCTGTAACAAAGGGTCCCAGACCTTTTCTTAGTCTCATTAACTAATGTGGTTAAAGAAATAGTGCTAGTTTGGAATGGTCTACCATTACAAGACTGATTCCTGGTTTGCACCTTTTCTTTCATTTATTGAGATATTTTGATTAAGGTTCAGAACTATAACTGGCATTCACAAAGAGGATCCATGTAAATCTGGATACTTTTAGTTTTTAACAGATGAATTCTCATATCTTTTTTTTTTAAGAATTGCTGTCCTGCAGGCATACTCAGTCTCTTAGAAAGCAAAACTCTTTTTTAGAAAGAAGATAAAATATGTTACTACTGCTGATGTTTGATGACACAGGACTTAGGGCTAGGGAGGATGTAACAACAAATAATTATTGTGCCTTGTCTTGAATTTTGTTTGTCTTCATGCTTTCAAAAGTAAAGTAGCACAAAAATGCAACATAACCAGGGCTAGTGGTACATGCTTGTAATCCTAGCTTTCAGGAGGCTGAGACAGGATTCTGAGTTTGAAGCTAGCCTGAGATACAGGTAAAAAATAAAAAGAGGCAAAATAGTTCATTTCCAATGCCAAGGCACATGTAGTCGTTTTAATCCAAGTTAAATTTGAGAATAAAGCTAATGTGTCCCTTGACCCAAAAGAGTTAACTGTTGTTATTTCGTCTCATTTGGATCTTACCAAACTTATCACAGGCTCTACTTCAGGTGCTTATGAGTCCTTTGAAATTGATATGCCAATACTGAAAAAAGAAACGAATTATTCCCTACTGTATGAAAACAACAAATGATTCACATGCATTTAATCACTAGGATTATAGGGTATTAGGGCATAGCAGCCTAATTCTCAGAATTAAAAAAGAGAAACTAAAACTGGTTTGGGGCCACATGAACTTGGAATTCGTGATCATTTAATTCATTTTAAAATAGCAAAACTTTAAATATCTTACTATTTGAGGGATGCAAGGTTTCTCATTGTAGCTAAAGTAGAAATGTTAAAAAAAATCTATGCATGGCCAGGTTTATGGAGTGGAACAATAACTTAGTTAAGCAAGATTATAAGACAGATAAGCTCACATTGTTTTTGAGTAACAAGCAGGCAGAGGAAGAAGAGATGGAGGTAGAGCCACAAGAAATGTCCATATACTCTCTGTAATCTTTTAATTAACTTCTAGAAAAGATTTATCTTGAAAAACAAATCTCTTTGAAATGTTTTCCTTTGTTTTTAGGCAATTACGCGGCTGTATCTGGACAAGGCCAGTTTAATCTGGAATGGAAATGCTGTTACAGGGATGGAAGGCCTTAAGAAATTTTTTGACATGTTGCCATCTAGTGAGTTCCAGGTCAATATTTTAGATTGCCAGCCAGTTCATGGTAAGATCATGATCTTTCAAAACATTTCCTTAATTTTCTGTTAGTGAACACCGAGGTTTAGATGGGAAAGCAGCAAGTAACGTTTTATTTATACATTCGAGCAGGTTAAATGTCATAAAAAATTCATCTACACAATCACTCTTTGTTTTTTTTCTACCCCCCCCCTTGATTTTTTGAGGCAGGGTCTCGTAGTGTAACCTTTTGTGGCCTAAAACTCACTCTGTAAATCAGGCTGGCCTCAATCTCACAGAAATTCACTTGCTTCTGACTCCAGAGTGCTGGGATTAAAGGTTTATGCCACCACGCCTGGCCTAAACTTTTGGTTGTCTTTGAGAGGCTTCTCCAGAAAACCATGAATAGGTTTTTTGGGGGAGGGGTGAAGATTATGAGTTATTACAACTTGGATTAAAAAATGAAGTAAGTACGATTTTTGTTAATGAGAAGCAGAGTGCCTCTAGAGAAAATCTTTGCCTTATTGTGGATTAATGTGCTTTGTGAAAGAATGACTTGTGACCAGACAGAATTGGATTTGGAGTAGACTGTTGCAGTATTTAATATTTACCTCTAGATGGGGTCCTTAGCATCTTAAGTAGTTGTTTAGAATGATATTTCTTCTGTTAGAGTTCCTGAAGGATGACTTCACAAGCAAACTATGAATGGTCTGTTACAAATCTAATGACATACTAATACATATAGGAAACAAATGGTCATGTTAGATTTATAGTCTTTATTTTGAAGCTTTAGAATTCCTACAAATCTTTATGGACTGAAAAATCATTGTAATAATTTTGAAATGAGTATTTAATGTTTCACGTTGGGTGTATGTGCTCAAAGTAAAGAAAATTTATGAAAACTTGTAACATTAGGCTGTAAAGCCATACAAACCTGCAAATATACCGATTTAGAAATGTGAACTGACCTCTTTCCTTTGTTGTATGTGGAAAAAGAACAAGCCACCCAGGCCCAGACTACCATTCTTGTGGTGACCAGCGGAACTGTGAAGTTTGATGGAAACAAACAACATTTTTTCAACCAGAACTTCCTGCTGACTGCACAGAGCACTCCTAACAGCACCGTGTGGAAGATTGCAAGTGATTGTTTCCGTTTTCAAGATTGGGCTGGCCATTAAATGGGGGCAAAAGGCCATTCCATGGGTCCATTTGTTCCAGCAAAAGTTTATGTGAATTAATATATTTCATTATAAAAGTACTATAAGATATGTGCTAAATCTAAATTGAGTTCATATTTTTTTATTCCTAGCAGCACCTTTTCTAGCAGCTTCCAGTTTAGATTGTTGCCCTCAAGAGGTTTAAAGCGAGTTTTTTACATGCCTTATATATACATTCCACTGATGACATTCCTGGAATAATACTAAACATGATCTAGGTACTAACATACTCACTGTGAATCCAACCTGTTGTAAATATGGTATCCTTTTGTAATACTGTCTGTGGGATAATAGAGTGGGTTTTTGGTTATTAGAGTAATTTTTCTGTGAAGCACATGCCTATTTTCAGTTAACACTGGTAACATAGTTTTAATAAATAATAGCTTTTTGAAAAAAATAATGATCTTAAGTTTACATTACTGATTGAGTTATTTGAATTGCATATAAATAGATTCTTTTCATACTTTTTTTTTACATTGACATAATTCCTTTTGAAAAGTCTTAAGCACCTAAGTAGTTGAAAAATGTTATCAGTTGATACTTGAGTATTGGATGCATGTGGTGGCAGTTAGTAGCAAAACTTTAAAATGTTTTTCTTGGCCCAGGTCCATATATTTATGTAGTGAGAGTTAGTAGAACTAAAAGCTTGAATGGGAGAATGCAAGAGAAGAGATGTAGACATCCAGGGTGAAGCCAAAATAAGGGAAGTGACCCCAGTGACAAAATTTTGGTACTTGTTTCCTACCTCCTAAAAGTGTAACCTATTTCTAGGATTCAAATCAGAAAGTCTCTATACTTGCCAAGTGGTCAAGAGTGTCACTTTTGTTCTAAGACTTCAATTTAATATCTCACCTCCCATCATACTTGTCTCCAGTATTTATCTCAGTTTAGTCAAGAACTTATGGGAGTAACCTGCCAGCAATAAACCTAACTTTGTGACAGGATCTAATAGGAAAGTGGGAAGGTAAGCCATTGCTGGTGCTTTGTGATATCCATAACTTCTAAGTCTTCCCATAAATTTTAGGCTCAAAGGCTGTCAATCACCCACATAAATAATTTTCCTCTCTGTGTTTTGCACTGTCAACTGTTTGATCTATTTTAACTTGAAAGGTATTTAATTTAAGGATTTGGTCTTCTGTTTGGCATTGGGTAGATAAATCTTTATTAAAACACATTCTTATTATGTGGCTCACTCATTCTCATATTAGTCAGAAAATAAAGAAAAGATCTTCATGATAAACGT